AAAAAAAAGGTTGTGGTGTTTTTTTTTTTATTTTAATAAACCCCCCGAAAAAAGGGGGGGGGGGGGGGGAGAAAGAAGGGGGAGAAAAAAGAAAGCCAGGTGACATATTCTAAGAGGGAGCACCGAAAACGTGTTAAGCACTTCAAAATCTCATATATTCAATCGGCCTCTGGCAAGACATCTGCCTAATGTTAGCGCTTAAATATCCTTTTCCATTTTACATGCATTCAAGTCTCATTTGAGCGAAATGAAACGGTATTATTAAAGGGAGATTTTGCACAAATGGCCTGAATTTGACATGTCAAGTTCAATGAGGCTGTTACATATGTAACACCGAGAAGGGCTCGGAGGCTGCCGGCTCTTGAAACAGCGCCAGTGGCTCAGAAATGAAATTTGCATTCAGAGAGCCTTGCCTCGCTGTGCGGAGCTGTGCACGGGGCTCGTCTGGACCCGTGCAGGGTGGAGGAGCCGTGGGGCGAGCACAAGCAGGTCTCTCCCTGTGCTTTGGGAGACTGGACACACCAAGAAGGCAGCAGAACTAGAAAGTCAGGTCCCTCATTCCCACCCAAGTCTGCTTTTTCAAGGGAATGCTTGACCTTGCACCAGGGTTTGATCCTCCTGAGCAATGTTCATCACCGGTTCAACAGCCAGTGTCAATCCCCTGGGCACACACAGTCCCTTGTCACGGGTGGGTGCTGCCCTGTGCCTCAGCATGGCTCCTCCTGCCTTGCCACGTGATGCTCTAGCTGGGTAGACCTTGAGATGTCCCTGCCCTGAGGCCAGGATGGTCACATCGGCACTGCCCATGGGGAAGAAGGGCTGTCCCTGTCCCTAGGGGATAGCAAACCCCATCCCCGCCAGCTGAGCAAGGAGTGCATTGGTGCGGGTGGGATGCAGCCCCAGGCTCCTGGTGAGCTGGGACCATGGGTGGCATCATGCAGGTGGCTCCTACAGCTCCCTTATATCTCAGCCCCAAGAAGCTCCTGTGATCAGCTGGAGGAATCCCTCTTCCTCCTTCCCTTCCTCTGCCCTCCTCTGAGCCATGCCAAGCTCCCTACCTGGGCGATGCCCAAAAGCCCACGTGAGCACTCAACGCCCAGCGGTGGCAATGGCGCGGGGCAGCCCCTCCACCTTGCTTCTCCACCAGCCTCTCCCCTCCTCTTGATCTGGCCCTACGGCAGCATCTTGGCTGGCTCACCCCGCTACGCAGCCCTGCGGCCATGCTGTCTCGGGGGAGATCCCGGCACACGGGGAGCCCCAGTGCCGCTGTGGGAGCTGATGGGGTACCCGCCAAGTCTCTGGTGCTGCAGGCTCAGTGGGCAGGAGGGTATCTGCCTTCCTAACCCCGAGCACTGGAAATTTATGATTTTGTTGCAAATCATTAAGGTTTATTAAAACTTAACAGCACAAGCCATGATTGGCTGCATCCTCTTTAAATTAAAAAAAAACCAGACCCTTGGAAAGCAGCCCCCCGGTTCGCTTCTCCCCATCAGACTGATAAGTAACAGCTGCTCAGCCATTTCGGTAACGAGTCAGTATTGGCAGGGAGCGGCCAGGGCTGCCGGTGCCCGTCACGTTTATAGGCCTACATTTTATTTTTATGTTTATTGGGTTATTTGAGATCATTATTAGTTTCTCTCTCCTCTTGTTGATATGTTCTTGCTCCCGGCTCCTCCAGGCGGGAAAGGTGGGGGAATGGGAGATGGGGCCACCCGCTAGACTAAGCCACCCCGCGGGAGGCGGGCAGCTCACAGGAGCTCGACCCGCTCGCATCCCGCTGCCCACTGTTGCTGCCCACCCTGCCTGCTGCTGCCGGCTGCTGCCGGCTGGCCCCTGCATCGCTCCCCTCCAGGACTGGGAGAGACCGTCCCTGTGCAGAGCTGCTGTGTTACAGATTAGCCTCCATTGCCTGAATCCATCGACTAGATTGAACGTTATCTATCACGCTACGGAGGGAGTCGTTATTTAATAATTAATAAAGACCTCTGATTCTTCTTCGCCGCCTGCGTGGCCGAGCGGAGCGGGCCAGGGAAGCGAGGGCAAGCCGGGGAGAGCTGTCTCCTCTCTAACTGCTGCTGTTATTTAAAGGAATAATGCCATTCTTTTTCATTTGTCAGCTGGCCCACAATGGCCCTTGTCATGCTTTATGATTTAGGGTTTCCTTTCCTTTCCCATTAAACGCCACCTTCCCATCACCGCCTCGCGCCAGCCAGCCTCTGCTCCTGGCTTGTGGTTTCAGTTTCACTCTGATATTGGCCCAACTTCTTTGATGGGCTCCTCCGAGCACTAATTGCTTCTGTTCATTTAAACCTGTTCACTAATTTGCAGTGGCCCTTTATTAAGTTGGATGCAGCCCAAATTACACCATAAATTACACTTGCAAGGGGACTGGGTGTCGCGGGGGATAAATGGGCTGCCTGTTCCCTGCCCACCCCCCTCTTCCCCATCTTCCTGTGCAATGCGTGGGGGATGCGGGTCTCAGCCTGAGGCTGCGGGTGCCAAATTTGGGAGATCTCAACCTGGACCCATTTGGGGAGGTCCCTCTCTACCTAAAGCTCCCTTCTTCTCCCTTCATCTGCAACAGCTATTGTTCAGTTGCAAAGATCCAAGCTGGGCAGGGATGGATTCTGCATCCTCCACACTGCACAGCCATGTGCACCCCCTTGCCCTGGCGCACACACTCACTCACTCACACACACACACACACACACACTGACACATGCGCTTTCCCTCCTCTCCTACCACCTGGTGACGTAACTTTGCTTCTAGTCGGCAGTTTGATTCCTTTCCTCACCTTTTAATGACCGGGGAATTCATTAATAATTGAAATAAACACGCTCTTTTCCAAGGCTGCTGAGTTTTATTAAGGCAGGGGCAGGGATCTGCCAACCCTTGGCTGCAGCCATTTCCTAAATAACTGCCAGCAGTTAAAATGCAATTATTATTATTATTTTTTTTTAAATCGGGGACTTTGCTGTGCTGGGGAAAGCAGAAGGGAGCTGAAGGCAGCTGAGGGGCAGTGCGCACCGTTGCTGCAGGCCTGCTCCATTGTGGGACGTGAGCAACCTGAGAGCTGCTCACCCAAACACACATCCCTGGGGAAAGGGGTGTCTGTGCCCTCTGGGAGGCATTTCTGCCTGGCTTTATGGTGAACCCCAGGGAAATGTTTCTGCCCTGCTGGCTAGCACTCAATATCCCATATCTGGTAGCTGTGGGTACCACCATCTCCTCTGCCATCTGCAGGTGCCCCGGCTGGCTAACTGGGGCTGCTGGTGGACCCCAGGGAGCTGCTTACCTGATGTTCAGCTGGGTGAGCTTCTCCAGCTCCTGCTCCATGTGCTCCTGCAACTCCCCAGGGCGAAGGAGGACCTGGCAGATGGGGCAGATCGGAGCCTGGCTGTCAAACAAAGTTGCTTTCTTTTTGCCTGTGAGGAGGAAAAGAGGGGAGAAAGCTTTAGCTCTGATCAGCTGCTATCAGCATCACCTGTGCTCTGCCCTGGTCCCTGTCCTAGCTGAGGTCAGAAAGCTGGGGATTTTCTCCCAGTATAGCCCTATTCCTCTCTGCATCCCACACTCCCTGGGGCAGGGACTGGCTCTGTTCTGCAGCGGGACAGCAACTGGTACGAGAGCATCCCAGCCCCGGCCATGGGCCCTCCAGTCTTACAGGGAGAGCAGCAACAGACACGTTTCGGGAGTGACCCTGTGCAACCCCAGCTTCCCCAGTTTGCAGTGCAGATGGCGTGGCTGGGGGCAGACGGATGACACTGCACTACCCACTGTTCCTATTAACTAATAACAGTAAAGTAAGACCTCCTCGGCGCTCCTGAAGTCGGGTGGGTCAGGATGTCCCCCCTGAAGGGCAGAGCGATTCTCCATGGGCGCACAACAGTTGGGAGGCAGAGGAGACCCCACGGCGCTGGGCTGCGGATGGCAGGGAGCAGGTCCGGATGCTCGGCACTGCTGCCCCAGTGCTCACCGGGGGTTGCTCACCCCGTTCCTGGGCTGAGATGGGTCCCCTTGCCGTTCCCGCACCACCAGCAGCTTCGGATCCCACATCTTCTCTCATTCTGAGCCCTCTGGGGCTGCATCATCCCTGGGTGAGATCTGGGGGTGCCTGCGGACCCTGAACCCAAGCTGGGCTGAGCCCTGGGGCTGCCCTGGAAGCAGGGCACTGCCTCACACCCTCCTCACCCCAAATCCTCCCTGCCTAGCCACATCTCCCTGGTTCACTCCCTGCTCCTAAGCCAATTTCCTCCAGCTTGGAAACTTTATTGCCCCCTCTGTAAGGAATATACAGCGTCTATTTAACATAAAATAAAACTCTAAAGCAAACAATGAAGTTTCAATAAAACAGAGAAGCCTGCGGGTCTCCAGGCCCCCCTCTCCCAGCTGTATTAGCAGCTCTGCTCATGAGAGGGCGTGCGGAGCCTGGCTCAGATGGCTCCAGCGGGGAGAAACATGCTTTATAGCCGCCTGTTGTCATCTAACGTGAACCCTCCTGCTGGATTATTTATTTATGTATTAGACATGGATCAAATTGGTTAAATCCGAGTGAGAGGCAGTAATGCACAATAAAGCAGCCGGCGCTGGATACGAGGGGGCTGCGTGCACTGTGGCCTTCCAATCAGGAGCCAAGAGGTGCCATTTTATGGCTCCTAACGATGGCAGAACCCAGTTAAATGAATCCCCATTAAAGGAATAGACCTTCTCAAAGTATAAAACATTGGTGTGAGCGGCTTTACTGGGTCCCTGCTGCTCACTGTATAACCGCCTCGCGTAGGCATTTAACGAGAGGAAGGGTCTGAAATAAGTTTGAGAGTCACCTTGGCTCATCCTTGCCTTCCAGCAGGACATAGCATACGTGCCTGGAGAGAGTGGGGCTGTCACTGGGACATTGCCTGCCCTTTTCTTCAGCCTCCCTATAGGAAGTGGGGGAAAGTGAGGCATGAGGGATGAGTTGGAGCAGGCCAGTGCTATGGGGCACCCCCTATCCCCCCAGCTTCTCCAGCTACTGGGAACACTCCTGTTTGCAGAGCCAGGAGGAAAACCCAGCTGGTCTCTCCTCTGGACCTGAGCCGCTCCTGACGGCTCCTGGACAGAGCCCCGCCAGACCCCAGGCACCTCGGCTCCTCATCCCCACCACCCTTCTGCAGGGGACGACAGAGCACGCAGCCGGGAACATCTTCCTCTCTCCTCCTTCCCTTGCATTTAAATAATGCCCAGAACCCAACCCAAACCCAAACAACCAGGTCCCGCTGACCTTTGTGGGAAAGGTCGGCATTTCAGTAATTCCACCTTCCTCTTGGAGCGTTTCCACTTTTGTGTAGTGGGGGCCCAAAATAGCCCAGGAGCGTCCCCGACCACCTGCTATTTATAACCCCAACTTCGCAGCAAAACAATGGAGCTGTCTGAGTTTCCCTCCCAAAATAAACAGGCAGCCTTTGAGCGGACGGGAAATCCTGCTGGATCCCTGCTGTGGGGTGTGCAGATGGGACGGGTAAACAGGCTGCCCTCCGCCCTACCGCACCGCATTCCCGCTCCAAGCCCAGGCCACCACTGTGGGGCCCACGAGTCCTCCCCGCTTGCCACCCACAGCTTGGGTTGGTGGGACAGGGATGCTCTTGGCAGCACCAGAGGGTGAATGGGAGGTTGAGCATCCTTGGGTCTCTGCTCTCCGGGGAGCCCAGGGGTGTTTGTTTGCTGGGAGGGGCGATGGAGAGCGCTGGACCGCAGTGCTGGGATGGGCAACCTCGCACCAGGAGGTGCAGCTGAGGTCCTGCCTGGGGACCAGCTCTTTTGCAGAAGGCTGGTGACTTTTTTAACCTCTTGCACGTCCAGGTCCTTGCTACCTGCTTGTTCTTCAGGGCTTTTCCATGGGGTGCATGTTCCTAAGCAGGGATGACTTTGGATTTCAACAGCCAGGGCAGCCGGGAGGGATCTCAGGCCATGGGAAGGAGCCTTGCTGCCTTCCGTGGCCATTCCCAACCCCAGCCCAGGCCAGCAGGAGAAATGAGCAGCAACAGCCTTACCCACCAGCTACAGCAACGATACAGCAATGAATTCACGCCAAGGACAGACGTGACAGCTGTCACCCCACATCCCTGTGACAGCAGGGGAAGATCCCCTTGCTCCAGTGAGCGTGGGAGGTTGGTGCTCGCACTGAAGCAAGGGCTTCCAGAGGGGTAGGAGAACAGGGACCCAGACATGCAGCCAAGTCCCTGATGTACAGATTGCAAAGCAGGAGACAGAAGGAGCCCTGGCTCCTGGCCCAAGGGGCTGACAACCGTGCTTTTGCAGGACCAGGGTTAAGTGCGAGTGACAGGCAGAAGGGAGGGATCATCTCCCGTGCCAGCAGGACACCTACGCAAGCCTCCCCAGGTCTGCAAAACCTGCTGCCTGCCTGGCGTGCCACAGAGGCTGCCGGCAGGATGCGTCTCCCCAAATCAGCAGTGGCTGCATCCGCAGCGTGCCCCGGAGCCCGGCACACCCCCATGCTGTAGTGCCTTACGCCGGGCAGTGGTACGCAGCTCCGTGGCGTGGGACGTTGGGTTGTGGGGAGGGAGAGGATGGGCATCACGAGTCCAAAAGGTTTTGTTTGTGAATGCAAAGGTAGAGGGAGATGCGCACATCCCGCCTCTCCTCTTCGCAGCAGGGGCATCCCGGTACTCATGAAAAAACAAAGGATGCTGCACTCTGTGTGCAGCTGGACCATGCTGGGTAGATGCCTACTCTGCTTGAAGGAGCAGAGGGCATTGATTTGCCCAGGGCAAAACGAAGGGTCCAAATCCCGAGCAGGCTGGACGCGTGCCTGCCCCAGCAGCAAGTGCTCCCCACTCTTCCCTCCCTGCCCTGTGCCAAACCCGCTCCTGAGAGACCCTGAATGGCTCTTTTCAGGCTTTTGTTTTTTGGCAGCTGTGTTTTTGTTTTCTTTGCCCCTCTCTCTCCCCTTTGCTCTCTGGTTACTCGGTAGGCTCAGCTCCAGTGTTTACCCTCCTCGGCTCTGCCGTGCTTTCCCTGCTGCCGACCCCCCACTCAACAGTGCCAGAGAGATGAAAAGGCAGAGCCTTGGTGCTCCTGCTGTTTGCACGGTCTCCTGGGCTCCGCGGAAATGTTTAACTCCAAGTGTTGAAACCGAATATTTCCTGCTCTGAAAGCAGAGGGCTCAGTGCGCAGATGCACCCCTGTGTGGAGGAATTTGTCCACGGGCTCCGTTGGAGGGCGCCTGCAAATGGATCCCAGCCCAGGTGGGGACCGAACCGAACCCTCCTGATCCTGCTGGAGATCGAGGGCCAGATCCTGCCCTCATTTACACCAGTACGGATCCAACATAATTCCCCTGAGTCAGGTCTGATTCACCGTGAAGCAACTGCTAACGGGACCCATGCTCCGGGCTGGGAGCTGGGCTCAGGTACTGGGGATGCACACGTGGCACCGAATAGGCATGAAGGTATGAAGCCATCACCACTCCCACCCTGCATCTGTGCCCTGGGATGCAGGGCTGACAGCACCCCGAGGCGTTTGCAGGCCAGGACTGGGTCACTTGGAAGGGAGAGCTTTCCCCTCACAAGCAGAATGGGAAATGCTGTTCTGGAGAGTATTTAAGTGGGAAAAAAGGACCCAGCCTGCCAACAGCCATGACGGCATGTGATGTATATAGCCCCTCGTCACTATGCAGCACAGAGTAAACGATGCTCCCAAGTCACTCTGAATGAGCAAAGCTTACAAGGCGTGAGTGCTCGCTCTGCCCAGGAGCTCAGCAAGTTGCCAAATGAATGGAATGAATTGTTTATAATTCAATTGCTGAGCTCTGCTGATGGCTTATTGCCCAGCCAGGTGCCTCCCCAGGGACTGCAGCAGGTAGGGAGCACTGATGGGGGCATGTTCCCTGCTGGGAATGCGCTCGCTCTTTCCTAAAAGGGCCCCTCACTGGGCAGACCCCAGGACATCTGCCCAGGTTTCGAGGCATCTTCTCCCTACGCTGTCCTTCCTCGCGGCCATCTGAAACTTGCCTCTGGGAGGACCAGCTCTTCTCTCCCAACTCCTGATTTCTCCTATCTCAAACTGTTTTCCACTTGTCTGAGTACCAAACTCCCCCTCCTCTGAGATGCCTCCCTCCATCTCACCCTCCCATTTCCTCTCTCTCCCTCTTAAACACTCCATCATTTAAACCCAATCAAAGCCAGTTGATCTGAAACTCTTCTGAATAGAAATGACCCCATGCTGGGGCCCCGCGGCCCCATGCGCCGCTTCGGGGGCCGCACTGAAACCAGGTGGGTGGTAATGGAAGTGCTGACACAGGCTCCTTGACAGCATCGCCACTGCCAGCGCCTGTAATAATCCCTCCCGGCTCCCCCGCAGCTCGGTTTCCGAGGCGATTATTTTCCATTCGATGATGGGCTTGCTGTTATTTGTGTACTGATAGCAG